GCAGGGAAGGAAGTTTCAAGCTAATCTGGCAGTGGATAGCTAATTCTTTATTGATAACAAACAAAAATTCAAAAATCTTATTTTATTAAAATATCTGATCGTTTCCTCCCTCAAATCCTTTACCAAATCTAATTTGCCTGTCTTCTTTAATTAATCACATGGCAAAGCTGCTTAAAAATTACAAAGAAGTAAGGATAATCCAGAGATGGCAAAAACCGACCAATCTCCAGGAAAGTGCCCCGTCCCATTCCTCCACTATCACTACCCAAAGTCTAGGTGTCTTCTCCTGCCATTCTTTCATTGTATAACAGAAAAGGGGCTTCAACAATATTCCAAGATAGTTCGCAACTGATTTTCTCTGGGTTGAGCTTTTTCTATGTTAAGACTCACGAGAAAGCACCTATCAACTGCAGCGGGCAGTTTCCGGCAGCTCACAGGCGCAGAGGAGCACGCACAGGATGGGACGGGGCTGAGGCACTCTGGTCCCCTGAGAGCACAGCCTCAGGACACTGTGTTCTTAAATTGGAGACATTCATGTATTCAAAAGCAATCATTTAAATGTAATACATGAAAACAGCCACATGATTCTTTGAAAAAGTAAATTTCAGAAAATTGTATGTGAAGGAATAATATGCAAAAATGCTCATTTTGATTAATTTTTAATGAAGATATTTTTCCCTAGTTACAGAGTCAAATACACCATTACTTCTTGTGTGATGACATGATGTTCTATTCTACCCACTGACCCACAAATGAGTCAAGCTGCATTTTTTTTGGCTAAATGTATTCTGAAAAATAAAGACATACAAAATAAAACAAGCAAACAAAAAAAGAATTCTTTATCACAGTGGCCTTCCACTGAAACACCAAAAAGCTGGAGGCACAAAATGGACATCTCAAAACAGGAACCGTACAGGAAAACCGTGTCTATTAACGTCCTTCATGTCACCAAACATCATAGACATTACGGGAAGAAATCAATAGCCATAATCAGGAAAATAAAACTGGGAATAAGGAACAGAAGGATATAGAATATCCCACATCATGGGTATTATGTTGCCATTGTAAAACAGTTTAAAATTAGTTCTATATATAGTAAACAATTTGTATGTTTCTCTCAAAGTGGTGTTAATAAGTTTCAACATTTCCATAAATGTATGCTTGCTATGTGGATAAATTATAAGAAATGATTTTTCTCTACTATGCCTGACCACTTCACAATTTGACCAATTTCCCAATGAGCTAATAGACTTCAATTAGCAAAGGATTATTGAAACAATCAGTTGTACCATATTGTATCTTATGTACCATTCTCCTCAATTGTCAAATATATCAAAAAAATCTCTAACAAAGGAAAAAGATTTCCTACCTCTATTTCAGAAGCTGACATGTACACAGCCAGAGTAACCAGAGATAACACTAATATGATATATGGGAAGGCATAATCTGAAAGATAAGCATTGGTACATGTTGGAAATTAAACACATTTTTTGAATGAACCATAAAAAAATTCAAACTGTTATTAATTCTCCTCAGCATTGAAGACTTTCTCAAGCAATTCTATGAGACTTCAGTCCTAAGGCTTCAAGGCAAGGGCTAGCAAATGTTTCCTGGAAAGGGCCAGATGGAAAATAGTTTCAGCCTTGCCAGCCATAAACTGTCTCATCACCCAACTCTGCAGCAGGAAGGCCGGCCTGTGCAGCAGAAAGAAGGGGCCTGCCTGGGTTCCAAGACAGCTTCATGGACAATGAAATTTAGGTTTCACACAAGTTTTCACAACTCAAAAAATATACCTTTTTGTTTTTTTAACCATTTAAAAATGTAAAAACCATCCTTGGCCAGGCTTTGGAGATCCCTAGATAATAGTACCATTAAACTTCTCTACTATGCATCTAGAATGGTGCCAGTTACGCACCAAACTTAGAATTGAGAAAAAAGTTACTCAAATAACTTCCGTGTGTTTTGTGGTCCAGGTAGAGAACCTTGGTCAGAAAAGGTTATCTGTCAGTAATTAAACTTTAATCTTTAGAAAAGTTCATTTATCAACAAACCTCTAAGGATAAACAGATCTAAGTAGGTCTAATAAGTTATGTTCTTAATACCAAAAATCTAGAAATCCCAACTTCAAATACAGTGCAGTAATAATTCTTTAAGCAAATTTTTGTCCTATAAAAATAAGTGTTTCAAATTTATAGCACACCAAAATAAATGGACAAATTGAAAAAAATACCTTGAATTATTTTCACACAGTTCTTTTAAAAACAACTTCAGTTTATGAAACTACTGATATTGCAGCAGAATCCATTTAGAACAATTTCAGATGTTAATTTAGGATGCATCAGTCAGAAACGCTGAATTATCTCTAGAGGCCTGACTCCAACTTGAGTGAATAACTTGTTTGACACTTAGAATCTTTTACTTCATAGTCAGTGATTAGGTCCTCCATCAGCTATCAACAAACACACCATTTAATTTATAAATAACCAAACAATGTTGCGAATGATATAAATTTAAGACTAGGTAGAAAAAAATCTACATCAGTAAAAAGCAGATAAAAAAGTTGCTAAGGAAGCCCAACTGTGTGAGGAGTGGCAGCCTGTGGACTGGAGACAGGATTTAAAGTGGGCCTTAAATTCTAGTATAACACAATTTCAGATTTTGTGCAACTAGGTCTAGGGGACAGTCTGGGGCTCTGCATTTTAGTTTCCCCAGTGGTTCAGCTGCAAATCTCTTTGACTTATCTCAGCAGATCTCATAAATTTATGTTTATTGCAAATGGGGTGATTCTCCCATGAATGTGTTCTGAGTGGAGGCTTGTTAACAAAATGACCTAAAAACATTCAGTGAGGGAAAAGGCATTTTTCTACATAGGAAGCCACAATACAGGAAACAGGAAGCAATGGG